CTTCTTAGTGTGTTTTGCGATATTTTTCTCGTTTTGCTTCTCAATAATTTTGGTCGAGGGATCTGCAAGGGAGAGTTGTCAATTATTTTATTTATTATTGTATTATCTTTTATTAATTTTATTACAGTCAGCAGGTAAAAGAAGATGGTGAACACTTCAGCAAATATCTGAAAGGGTAAAATATAATATAATAAATTAAATAATTATATTAAATTTATTTAATTATAAAAATATTTTATTAATTTATTATTTAGAGTTCTAAAAGAGTAAGACATTCACAAGCTTTTGCAAATATTTCTGGAGGCATCAGAACTTCTACTGAGACTCAGACTAGTACTGAGCCTTAGACTAGTACTGAGCCTTAGACTAGTGAATATTTAAATATAGATGATAATGAAAATCCACAAAAGGAACCTTAAAAAATTAATATTTCTTATTTTATATTTATATTTTTTATTTTATATTTTATATTTTATATTTTATATTTTATATTTTATATTTTTATATTTCTTTAGTACTTTTTATATTTTTACCTTATACATTTTTAATAAATTTAATTACTTTTGAATTATTTTACATATTATAATGTTTATTCTGTTAAATATTAAAATATTTGGATTTCGTATTATAATATTTTAAAATTTTTTAAGATTTTTTATATTTTTATTATATTTTTTAAGCTTTTTATAAGCTTTTTATATAAAATTTTAAAATAAAATTTTTTAATAATGAAAATTAAACTTAAAATATTCACAATTATCTGCATAATTGAGAATTTATATATATGCATAAAACCTATCACTATTCAAGTTACTACTAGTTTATAGTTCTCAAAGTTAATCATGAACTAGTTCACAGTTCTCAAACTCAATTGTGAACTAGTTCATGATCCTTAAACTCAATCATGAACTAGTTCATAATCCTTAAACTCAATTATGAACTAGTTCACAGTCCTCAAACTCAATCATGAACTAGTTCATAATCCTCAAACTCAATCGTAAACTAGTTCATGATCCTCAAACTCAATCGTAAACTAGTTCATAATCCTTAAACTCAATCGTAAACTAGTTCACAGTCCTCAAACCAATCATAAACTAGTTCACGATTAGAAATAAAAAACATGCACATTTTATAATCATAGCACAATCTCATGATATTAATGCATATAATATCATATATATAATTTTTTGATGTTAATTTTACATTAGATATTGGCTCAATTAGGCCTAAATTAATATACATTAATTTTCATAAATAAAATTTAGATAGAATAAAATATGCATTATTCGAATTCATGCACATAATTGAGGAATTATGCATATTCATGAAACCCATCACCATTAGTAATCCAAATCATTAGTTGAAAAATCAACTAGTTAACAACTTTCCAACTAATTGATTTAAAAATTTTGAAAACAACTAATTGTATAACTATCAACTAAATTAACTACAACTAATTATAGTTGTCAACTAGTTGACAACTAACTATTATCTATATTAATCAACTAAACAACTTATTATAACTAGTATTGAAATCATATTACTTGTTACATTAATCAATAAAGCAAACCTATAAAAAAAATATCATTAACATATCTTGTAAATATAATTAAACGATTTGTATATTAAGAAATATGTAACACATAAATACTATATAAAATATATGATGTCAGCAGTATTTTTCTATAGATGATATTTAATTAGTGATTATTAGAACATATTGGTTAAATCAAAAAAGTAATTACTACATATGTAAGCGATTTGTATATTAAGAAATGCATAACACATATTAGCAGTATTTTTCCTATAGGTGACATTTAATTAGAGATCATTAGAGCATATCAGTTAAATCGAGAAATTAATTACTATATAATGGTAAGTGATTTGTATATTAAGAAATATGTAACACATATAAATACTATATAAAATATATGATGTCAGTAATATTTTTCATATAAGCATTAGAACATATCAGTTAAATCAAGAAGTTAATGCATGCAAAGTTTATTTACACTACACATGATTTTGCAAAGTTTTTGTTACTTTAGCAATAGTATAAAGAATAAGTAAAAAAAATAAGGAATTTTTTTATTTTATCAACTTTGTAACAAGTATCTATATTAAAAAGAAAGCTGGTTATAAAGGTGTTATTAGTAAAAAAAAAATGCTGGTAATGTGAACAAAAGCATGCATTATATCATCTACCTTTTTATTTCTATAGTATTAAATAATGTATTAAATCAGGTGAATATGCAAGATTAAAAGAATTATATGAATTAGTAAATCTCATAAATACTAAAATGATTAATGACAATAATCAAATTGTTTACATTAGCAAAATCAAACACTCTATTTAAAGTGAAATAATAAAAAAATTTAATGAAACAATGAAAAAAATTTTAAGCCTAGGTTTTATTTTGTATAGAACTTGGTTTTTTTTGCTGTTGTATTATAATTTTATAATATGTAAGTACAGTATCTTTAATGCCAACATTTAATGTTCAATAGTATAAAAGGATAATAAATTAAAAAAAAAAAATCCAATTATTTTTTGATTATGCCTCATAAGAATTGTAATGAATAGTTCAAAAGAATTTAATTCTTTATCTGAAAATGAAGATAATAATAGCAACATTGAATTATTAGCTTCTACATCTACTCAGACTTTATCTACTTGCAATTTAAATATTATTAAAAAAAAAAAACTAGGAAGTTTCATTTGGAAATTTTTTAAAAAATATATAGATTATCAAGATGAACAAACCAAAAAAGCTCAATGTTTAATTGAAGAATATAAAACAACATATGTGTAGAAAGAATTTACTACCAATTTAATAAGCCATCTTCATGATATACATCAAATTACTAAAGAATCATTTAAAAATAAATCATTAAAAATTAATCAACAAATGATTCAGCAAGTAATTTCAAGACCCCACTCTTCCTATATGCAAAAAAAACTTACATATAAACTTGTGTGTTATATAATCTCATATGCTGAACCTATTCATATAGTTGAAGATAATAATTTTAGGCTTTGGGCAAAAAGTCTTGATTCTCAGTTTGAAATACCATGTGTTAATACAATTAAAACTATTATATTTAACTCCTATAATTCTACAATAAACCAAATTATAGATCTTATTTTAAAAACATCAAATACAGTTTCTTTAACCTTTGATATTTGGACATCACAAACACATGATAGCTATTTAGAAATTACTTGCCACTGGCTTACAGATTCATTTGAATTGTATAAGGTCATACTTGATATAGAAGAGTTGGATAAACATAATGCATTTGATATTATTGAGTCAGTTAATTCAGTTCTTAATAAATTTAATATTGATCATTCAAAGATCTTCACTATTACTACAGATAATGGTTCAAATGTCAAATCTGCAGTGCAACAATTGAATATTACTAACGTAAAGTGTACTGGACATACATTTCAATTAAGTGTTAATTTGGATTTAAAGGAAGTTGATAATCTTATTTCAAAATGTAAATCACTTATTGCAATTTTGTCAAAAGAAAAAAAATGTAAACAGCTTCATAAAGCTCAATTACAAATTACTCCAGGGTTAAAACAACCTTTAGATATTATTAAAGATGTGAATACATGTTGGAATTTCATTCTTTATACTATTGAACATATTATGCATTTAAAACCTGCCATTATACAATTATACTTAACTCTTACTAATCATACTATTAGAGAAATTAGAAAAGGAGCAGAAACTATAGGTTCTTTTATTCCTTCTACAGAAGAATTTGAATTATTAGAAGAACTAATAGAAATTCTTTTTCCTTTTGATGAAGTAACTCAATTCTTAAGTAGATCCAAATACTCAACTCTTAGGTTTATAACACCAATTTTGGAAGAACTTGCTCATCAGTTCAGGTACTTTACAGGAAAAAGTAATAAGGCTATTCTTGTTAAAGAAATGATATTGGATAATTTAATTAAACGTTGGGGAGATCCAAGTGAAGTAGGCATGTGCTGTTCCTTTCTTAACCCAAGATTTAAAAAACTAAATTTCTGCACAAGTGCTTTATGCCATTCAACTATTCAGAATATGCATCATTAATTTAATGAACTTTGTCTAATACCAACCTCTGACGATGATATTAATGATGATTTGATTTTAGCATTTTCACATTCACATAAAAAATCCAAAATGGCAACATTTTTTACGCATTTATGAACAGAAAACTCTAATGTTGAATCCAATGAATTTGATCAGTATTGTCAACTGCCTAAAATTTCTCTTGATGAAGGGTTTTGGCCTCTAGAATGAGGGTGTAAACACAAAACCCTTTTTTCTACTATGATGATTTTGGCGAGGCGATACCTTGTGGTGCTGACTTCCTCTGTACCATCAGAGCAATTATTTTCTGATGCTGGAAATCATATGATGAATAAGCATAATAGACTTAGTCTGGACTTATTGAATCAATTGGTATTTCTTAAAAAAAATATGAATTGTATTAACATTTTTTCTTTACTTGATTAAAACAATAGTTTTTATGTACTGAACACTTTATCAAATGCTTAATAAAACAATTATATATTTTATCATTTAATGGAATTTAAATTTATATTTAGAATTTTTATTTCAACTCAAACTTACAATTTTTATTACTAAGCAACAATTTATAGGATTTAACTTTGTAAGTATTACATTCATATGTTGATTTATTTAAACTTTGAAATT